ACAGTGCCTATCACCAGCAGATATGGGTGTGGCAGGGTCTCCAGACTTGAGGTTGCAGCAGGAGGGTGGGCAATTCCAACAGAGACACTTACCCTGTTGCTCTCCATCTGACACTACTGAGCCTGCCAATTACTAAGCATTTCTCCACAATGAAGTGCTTTCTTTTGGGGGCTCTCCTTTGTGCCATGTGGACAGTTGATCCCATAGCGAGGTCCAGGACAGAGTTGGGAACAAGAGATCTGAACCAAAATATGGGGGGCTGGGGGAGGGGGAGGGACGCCAGAAGCTATGACAGTGACCTCAACCATCCTTACTTGCCATGTTATGCAAATCACCGTGAAGATTTCCCTACCCCCTTGCTCTTCAACCTGGCATCACACTGGTGTGGAAGGCACGGGTGCACTAGGTGTCCACAGGCTTCCTGGGGTGGGGCAGAGTGGGATTAGCTCCCTAGGAAAGAGAACAATGAGGCTCCCCCCACCCCCAGGGAACCCCAGGGAGCCCCAAGGTACTGGATGGGCAAGAAAATACACAAGCCATGTAAAGAAACTCACCTCTCCAGGAGGAAGTTCACCACCTCAGCCCCAGGTGGGGAACCGTGTGTTACACATCTGCTCTGGATCCTTCCACATCTTCTCCCGGATGCACCCTCAGCTCTGTGGAACAGACTTTGTGCACCCCCTTGCTTTCTCTCTCCTCACCTCATTGAGCTGATGCATCTGTGTCCACTAAAGGCTAATTCCTTCCTAACGCAGCCCTGCTTCCCTCTCGCACACTACAGGATACGCCCACATCACTCTGAGCAAGGACATCAGTTCAAGCTTGTCTACCGGATTCTGGAGGGAGGATAGCACCGCAGGCAGGGGAGCCAAGCCGGAGACGACCAGCAGTCACAGTGCCCACCACAATCAAGGGAGCCAGTCACCCTGTCCTGATCAGCACAGCACCATGGACTCTGCAGAGTATGTGCTCTGTGGCTGGAAGGGCCAGCTGTGGCCTGCAAGGGTGCTGTCCAGACCCGGGACTTCAGCCCATAGGAAGAGGAGAGGGGCATCTTTCCTGGAGGTCCAAATCCTGCCTGTGGGTGAGAAGACGAGAGTAAGGAGCACAGAGGCGAGGCCCCTAACCAAGTCTGAAACCGTAACCATCGCCTCCTTGGCAGGAAAGGAGTCACAGGGCAAAAGCTCGCCGAGGCAGACCAGGGCATACAGAAAAGCCCTCAAGGTGGCACTGGATGTTCTGGGCGAGGGAACCTGCTTGTATCAAGGAGGAAGGGCAGGTGGCAGAAGAACCAGCACAGCGGCGCCAAAGGTTCCGAAAGAGCAGGCCAGCTCCAGCCCACGCCAGCGCCTGCACCTCCAAGGGCGCAACCAGAAAGGCCAAGGGCTCTCCCACAGGAGTCCTGGGAAGTGGGGCCGCCCGGGATCTGTGTGGATGGGCTCACCGAATATGCCTGCAGTGCAAGGGGGGAAAGCCCGGGCGCACAGTGCTGTTGGGCACGCTCACTTTGAAATGCAAGGAAACATGCCAAGACGCACCAGAGTGTGGCCAGGTTCCTGCAAGACACCAGCAGGAAATGCTGGTGATAATCCCAGCAAGAGAAAGCTGAGCACATCCAAGCTCAGGTCTTTGAGCGCCCCGGCCTCCAGGGAGGGTGCCCGGGATAAAAATGAGCAGCAGGCTGCCTCTGGGCCACCGAGGCATGTCTCTACCTTGCCCAGAGCTCCCAAACAACAAGTACGGTGCGGCAGCCTAGAGATCCGGGCTATTGGAGCCCAAAGGAAGACCACCCTCCCAGAGAACGAGGAGGACCCCGGCCGGGGGACCCCGAAACCAGACTCAAAGGGAGCATCGGCAGCCTGCATGCCTCCAATCCCGAGGCTACGAAGATCTCTCCGCATTGCTACCCGGAAAAGGAAGATCCATGTGCTGTGTGCACAATGCGGGCTCCCAGAATTGGCAACTAAGATGCACTCAAAGGCAACTAACACCGGGGTCAAGAGGAGAGCGGCTGGAGTTCAAGAAGACCGCCAAGCCACCAACGTGGCTTCTGCTCAAGAGCCGAGTACCATCGAACGAGGCATGCTGGTCTGGTTCAAATTCCAGGACCTTCCTTTCTGGCCGGCGGTGGTCAAGAGTGTCAGCAAAAACGGCAAGATGGCGAGGGTGCTGTTGATCGAGGGCAACATGCAGTTTGAGCACAGGGGTGTCAGAGTCCCTCTCCGCAAGCTGAAGCACCTGGACTGTGGAGCAAAATTATCGCTCCTGCGGAGAGCCAGCAGAGTGTACAGCCAGGGCATCAGCTGGTGCCTCTCAGTGATTGACCACTACAAAGAAGACCTTGCCTGTGGCTCCTTCCTGGGCTCCTTTATGGACTACTACACCTCCCAAGCCAGTTATCCGCTAAGGAGAGCCATCCAAGAGGGCGACCTGCACATTGATTTCCCCAAGGTGAGCTATGCCGACTTGGAAGATTGGGAGGAGGAGACAGCCCTGGGTGGGAAGGGGCCCCGCAAGAAACTCCTGCCTGACCGCATGAGGGCCGCTTGGGACAGAGCCAACCAGAAGCTAGTAGACTTCATCGTGAAGAGAAAGGGGGCCGACCAGCACCTGCGGGACATTGTGAAGGGCAGGAAACCGTCCAGGTGGCTGGACGACCTTTGGAAATCAAAGAGGGAAGTCTTCTGCATTGAGACCTACCTGGAGGATGAGGACCAGTTGCATCTCGTGGCCAGACACTTGCAAGAAATATCCAAGGAAGCGGATGAGGCCCTGCTCTCGCTGGCAAGAGGAGACAAAGTCCGGTTTACCATGGAGGTTCTTCTTCCAGAAGCAATCATCTGCTCCATCGCTGCCCTCGACGAGCTTAGCTACAAGGAGGCAGAAGAGAAGTACCTGCGTGGCCCACCCGTGCACTACCGTGAAAAAGAGCTCTTTGACAAGACCATCCTAAAGGCTGCCCGGATGAGGTCAGCATCCAGGATTCGGGCTGCCAGGAACCCCTCTGCACCCTCTCCTTAGAAGGGAGCTTCCTCCTTTCAGCCATCACCCCTGCAGCTCCACCTCCAAAAGAGGACCATCTGGGAGACTCTGGGGTTTGCTATGGCCACTGTGAAAGCTCCTCACTGCACACGTTTCTCCCCTCCCACCCACCCACCCACCCACACCCTCGAAATAAATGTTCATGTCCATGCTTGACGGTGCAGATGTCCACATCGGCTCGACAATTCCTGTAAGCTTCAGGCCAGGCCTAGCCCTCTTTAGCCTGTGCCCAAGGCGCGGTGGGGGCGCCTCTCTGGAACGTCACCAGCCATGGGTGGAGTATTAGCTAGCTATGCACAGCCTTGCACTCTCTGCACGGACCCCACGCACCCAGACAGCACACCAGGTCCCTGATGACACTATGTCTCTCTCCCTGTCCTCTCTAGGGTTCTATGGATGGGTCCGGATTCCACTGTTTTCTCCATTACCTCATTCTTGCTCACTCACGTTGAAGGAGAGGAACAGATGTGTGCTTTGAGCTGTGCTTTGAAGCCAAAGAAGGGGTTGGAAATGTTGTGACCTCGGAGATAGCCTGATTTCAAAGAACTTACACACACAC